CAAATATAGCTGCAAGGCAGAGAAAGGATAGAGTAGCTCCACCCAACGCGCCTCAGACACACCTTTGCACCGCGCAGCCAGAGCAGCAAAGCTGCTTCAGCCGCGCGTCAGAACTAACTGGTACAAGCAGCAAAAATGAAGCAGCAGACGCGATTTTGCTGCTCTGCTGCGTCCGGTGTGAACGCAGCATTAAAGGTGAAAACTAGGAGAGAAGTGCACATCACCCTGAAAGCAATACCCCCTATGAGATTATGGTGGTGGTGGTATTATGCTGTGGGGAAGTTTTTATGTATTTTCTTGTGGAGCTAATTACAGCATTATCTGAAAAAAAGGAAACTGTTGAACTGAACATTTAGGCTGGGCTACAATGGAATGGGTTAGATCAGAGCGTAATCATTGCTTAGAATGGCCTAGTTAAAGTCCAGAGTTAGATCAAAATGACAGTCAGGATCACAGAAGCTCTCCATCTAATCCGACTGAGCTTAAGCTGTTAAAAGCTTAAGCTGTGCATCATCATAATTTCACTACTTTATGTTGATCTATCATAAAAATGCAGGTAGAATATGTGGCGACTGATGTCACAAAAATAGTGTGAATATCTCTGCAGATGCTTTTTCAACAAGCAGCTTTCTAAGGCAAGAAGATAATTAGTTTGTACACTAGAGAGCACTAATGGGCTTATCACACTGACAAAACATTTAGATGCTTCAGGTTAGGTGTTTGAAATGACTATAAAGTTAATCTCTTTTTTTTTTTTCACGATTAGCTCCAGTAAAATCTCCTAACTGTGTGCAGATCAGCCATCAGGCTGCAGCAAAGCTTGGAGATGTTAGTTTCTCCATGCTTAGTGGAGCTAGCAGAGTAGTATGGTTTTAATTTGATAAGATCGAGCTGCTGTCTGAAATGCTTATTAACATATTTTATTTTTGTGAAGCAGAACAGTAGATTTAAGCTGAAGTGAATGAATTTGATAGACCATAGATATTTTCCTATTAGAGCACAGGTCTCTCATCCCTTTTGGTTGATTTCAGTTGTTGGGTTTATTTGGGCTTTTTGGTCTAACAATATATTAAGAGACATTTTATTTGAACTATTTGCAGTTTTCATATGTTGTCTTTAATTTAAAAAAAAAAGAAATGTAGCTTTTGGTTTAAAGGTAATTTTAACTGAAATGTCTAGTTACTTTCCTTTCTTTAACCATTGTATAATGGATAAACTGTAGTCCTTAGCACTGAATGGAAAAGTGTCTTTAGATGGCGAAATATTATTTAATTATATTTCATTATGGCAGTTAGTTTAATACTTTTAATTAATCAATTTACTTCTGCAAACTATAATAAAGGCTGTCATGCTTTACAATGCGTACATTTTATTTAGACTTTTAAGAGACGAGGATAAAAGCACATTCCAATAATCAATTATTTATTTGCATTTTCCTGGTTTTAAGGTTTTCAACCTGTGTCACTCATCTAAACAATAAATGATGAACTGAGTTTAGCCTGTCTGCTTTCTATTGGGTCTTTTCAATAGGGGTGTAAATAATAATCGATCCAACAGCCGACGATCCGATGCATCGATACGTCCGCAAGAGAATAGATTCATGTTTTTTTTTTTTCCTCCGGTCTATTTTTATCCATTTGCTCCTGGGCGTAATTCTCCTCCCATGCTGCGGTGGCGCTAAACCTATTTTGCCCTCCTACCTCGTTTCCTGGTTATACTCTTACAGCAGTGTGTTGCAGTGAGCTCTATGCAGACATTTTTGATTTATGCTCAATATTGAAGCGTGATCTGTGCTACACGCTGTGGGTCTAGATTAGGGTTGTCAAAAGTATCGATACTGAAACGTTGTATCCAGATACAATACTCATTTTCAAAAGTATCGAGTACCAGTGGCACCTAAACAGTCATTCATCTAAAGTGCAGATTAGAGGAAAATGCACTTTCAGAACACTGTGATTGAATAATTCTACGCACTTTTCAGTTTCAGACTTTTTTTGTAACAGCTGCAGCTGTTGAGAATTATTTTTGTTTCTTAACCGGTTTGGCTAGCGTCATTGTTATGTGTGTAAAGCGTAGCCAAGTAAGGAAAACTTAATTTTAATTTTGTAAGTTTTTTATCAAGCTTGCTTAATATTGTGCACAGCATAAAACCTCAAAATATTGTTCTTTTTGTTTATTGTATTTATTTATTTATTGTATTTTAATTATTAATCAAAATATTTCTGTTGAAATTCGGAAATTTTATCCTTGTGGTATCGAAAATGGTATCGAGTATCGTATATTTTCCTTAGTATCGGTATCGAGTTGAAAAATTTAGTATCGTGACAACCCTAGTCTAGATACGGCCGAGGGGGCGAGAAAGTGCTGGCGACGTTTAGTCCGACGACGGAGGGACATGAGGGCG